CACACACACACACACACACACACACACACACACACACACACACACACACACACACACACACACTCTCCTAATATGTCTGCAGTATTTCCTTTACTTCAGAGGACGTTACTTTGACTCACATTAATTTCCCGGAGACTTACGCTAAACCTGAAAACTAACCCTTCATACTGAAATTAATTGATTTATGTTATGGGGGCTTGGTTATTGTTCCTGCAGTGTGACTGAAAACAGTTTATGTCCCTGCAACAATCTAAGTACACACACACACAGAGGAATGTTACACAGCTTTGGTTTAGGTTTCTTTTTCTTGATTAGTATCAGTCCATTTACCTGTGAGACTCCCTGTCCCAGAGCCAATTATCTTCCCTTATCTGTGTATAGTTTGCTTTTGTGTGAGTTTTCATGTGTGCGCTGTATATCTAGTGCGTGTGTCACACTTTTCACCGGGGAAGTGCGTGACTGGCAGGTACGAGTGTGAGAAAGTTCTCCGTCAGAAAGCTTTACCTGGATCAGTTTCAGGGCCGGGCCGCAGGGCGGGCTGGGCTTCAGGGGAGAGAGAGCCGGGACACTCTGTGGCAACCTTAGAGCATTTTCAACTGAAAGGCCTGCTTTATCTGGCCATCTCTGGGAGGTGGAGGGTAGTGGGTGGTGGGTGAGGGAGGTAGAGTGATCCCCCTGCCCCAGGTGAGGGGATGAACAGGTGAGCAAAGTCATTATGAGGAAAGGTGAGCTCTTTCTGTCCCCTGCCCTCCGCTCACATGTGCAGTCTTCATTTCTCACACTAATCTCTTCAGGGAAATGCGCGCCTGTGTTTTTGTCTGCATTTGTTTATGTAGCTGTAATTTCTCGTGTTTTGTTTGGTTTGCGTATCATGCTATCAAAAACGACTGCAGGGGTCCATCGCTATTAGGCTCCTGTAAGTCTGTGCCATGATTTCTCAGCTTAAGGCTAAATCAGCTTTTTCTATTGGTTTTAGAGCACCTGTAAAAGCTTTACTGAAAGGCAGCCTCTCTGAGAGGGTTTTATGAGAATAGTTCAACTTTTCGTTACATGTTCAATGTGAAGACTAATACCTTTCTCTTTAAGTTCATGACAGTACAATTAGAGAAAGACTGAATAAGCATGGTTTGTTTGAAAAAGTTGCAGAAAGACAGCTTCTTATCTCTAAAAAGATGCACAGTAACACATTTGGAGAAAATGCATAATAGAAGGAAAATTTCATATCAAACCTCATCATAACTGTCAAGCACAGTGGTGGAAAGGTGATGATATGGGCTTTTTTTGCAGCCACCTGCGCACCTTGATCGTGAACTCTAGAGTCAAACGTAGGCCATCTGTCTCACAGCTAAAGCTTGGCTCAAATTAATTCATGCAACAGGATAATGATTGCAACCACAGCAGTAAACTACAGCAGCATGGATGACAAAAACAAAGAATATAGGTTTTGCAATGGCCCAGTCAACAACCAGACCTCAACCTGACTCAAAATACTGTGAAGGGACCTTAAGAGAGCTCTGCATAAACAAATTCCTGCAACCCTCAATGAACTGAAGCAATGCTGTAAAGAAGAGTGGTTCAAAATTCCTCGGCAAGAAAGAAAACCGCTACTTCAAGTTATTGCTGCTAAAGGTGGTTTATATATAAATAATGCACTTTTTTTTCAAAAATTATGTCTTGATGCGTAAAATCTGATGTAAGTAGTGAAATGACTGAATGTAGTGTGAAGCGCTTTGGGGTCCTTTGGGACTAGAAAAGTGCTATACAAATGCAGGGCAGTTACCATTTTACCAAATGTAGCAGTGAGTTTGCATTGCTATCCTTTTGAAGTCTGAAGTCAGGTTTGCTGGTTTTCCCGTTTCCAGTCTTTACACCACGCTTAAGGTATCACGGCTTTAGCATTATTCAAGTCCCAAGTGGTGTCAATCTGCTCCTGACAAACAAGCTTATTTTTCAGTGAGGAAACTTTACAAAATGTCACAGTGTAACAACATTTAATGTTTTTCGTTTGCTTATTATGTGAAAAGTGCAGACGAATCATCCCTCGAGTGACAGAGGATGAAATAGGATATCGTTGCTATTTTCAGTCTGTCTTTGAAAATGAAAATGCAGAGTTTAGCTTTGC